CATAATTTTTGCAAAAGGCTGTATATAGTCTATTTTATATATATGTACTTGTATTTGCTTTACTTACAGTTCATCTGAGCATGCTTCTGGTTTCTCCATTCTGTGACCACGGCGGACCATGTTATATACATCACGAGTTGACATCAGAGGGTAGGGAACACCACCTGCATTGCAAGAAATAAAAATAACATAATAGCTTTGTTATATTATATGTACTTAATTATGGGTTTCCTGTGCCCTCATTAATAAAACCATGTGCTGGAATATGGCGTCTGWCTGCTTGCAACACACATAACAAGCTTAAATTGTAACAGCAAGGCGGTTATGAAATACAACACGCCAGAGAATCTCTTTTTCTTCGGACATAGAGATAGATATTGAGAGCAAGATTTGAAGCTTGTGCATATCGCATTGAAAGCTTCTCCAGTGCTCTACGTTTCGCATCACATAGACCAAATTGTCTAACGCGTTGCTATAAACGTTTCCACCCAATTCAAACCACCMGGGAGTAAGTTTCATTGTTCGCTGTATTTTCATTTCACAKTTGAATTCTTAGAAACAAAACTTCTTTTTCCCACAGGATTTGAATTTGACGGTAACGTACATGGCAAAGTGTTAGCCGATTAGGTCTATTCATGTTATAGGACCGAGGCACAAGCGGTGGAGGAGATGGATAGAATTCTTGAGACGACTGCTCAGTGAATGTTCTCTAATGTTACGAGTGCTGAGTGCTCAGTGAATGTTCTCTAATGTTACGAGCTGAGTGTTCAGTGATTGTTCTCTAATGTTACCAGCTGAGTGCTCAGTGATTGTTCTCTAATGTTACGAGCTGAGTGGTTGGAGATCTGACTCTACACATCTATAAGGTTCACCCATAATCAAATGATGTGTTTGTCATGTGACACCATTGATGTGACATTTTAAATGACATCACGCATAAAGATGGGTCTCATGACAGTACACTGTAATGCAGAATAATCAAAAATCGAATAAGCAAGTAAATAACGTAATTAAATCACTTACCTAATGTAGCTATTTCCCAAAGTAAAATACCGTATGACCATCTGGCAAAAAATAAATTCATCATTYACATCTCACTTCTTTGGGTATACCACAACGAAAAATCAATTCAAGTTGATCAGTTTTGTATTTCGAAAGTGAGCCTGATGATTGGCTACTAAAAAWGTTCCAAGGTGGAAGCATTACAGGTTTTACTCAGTGAAGTTCGTCTCATTTTTGAAAACAAAGGTTAAGATTAGAAAGTGCTAATAGTCGCTTCTTCCCTTGATAGTCGAACATTTGCATTGGACAGTCATCGGGGAAAGTTTTGATTTAATTTTAAAATTTGATTATCGTTTACTAAAAACACACACTTACACGTCACTGGCTGTTGTGAAAACGTGGTCGTAAAGTGATTCCGGTGCCATCCATTTGATTGGAAGTTTCCGCKGTGCACGAGCATGGTAGGCACTCTCTTCGTACACGTCACGAGTCAAGCCGAAATCTGTGACTTTCACTCGTTTGTCGTCTGCTACAAGAACATTCCGAGCCGCCAAATCACGGTGAACAAAGCCTTTTAAGGACAGATATTCCTTTCGAAGAATCACAATTAAATGAGCAAATGGTAGGGTTTTAATGGACAAACGAATTCATAATTGGACAATGAATACGTTGGTTGGGAGAGAGGAGTGACAAAAAAGCAAAAGGCGGATAGAAGAATGGGGAGAGGAAAAAAGCCGCTCTTCCTTTATGGTCTTCTCTTTCCATTTTTTCAGCTTTTATTTCTCGGAAATTCTATATAAACCGATGAATATCAATAGATTCTTGTTACATCTTATAATACTTACCATTCCTGAAGCAATCTGATAAGAAAACGACAACAAATCCTTAGGGGTAATGATGTCATCTTCGATGTCAATGCTTATCTGATTGACGTCATTAGGATTTGAGCAATTCTCGTGTTTCGTTTCCGCGGCTTCAAATCCAGCATTAACTTGGGAAACTTTCAGAACGTATCGGCTTGATTGCTAAGAGGAATTGAAACAWTATTTTTAATTGTATGCACAAAACAATGGTGCATGTATATCACAAACTATTTCGTGGTTAAATGACCTGTACTTCACCC